GGCATAAGGCCGGGGTACAGACCCGTGTCTTGAAATCAGAGCTCTATTTCGCCCGCTGGGGCCCACCGCCCTGAAGCCACCTAGTCGCCCTGAAGCCACCTAGTCGCGAGTCGGTGGAGGCCCTGGTCTGTGTCGAGCTCACCCAAGCTCTCCCGGGGCTCCCACAACTCCTCAGGTCGGGCCTGGTCCCAGCGCTTGGGTGGCTGGGCTGGGTCTGGTCGAGCCGGAAAGGTACGCCTTGCAGAAGCCCCAGCTCCAGCGCTCCCAGTCCCTTGGACCAGACAGTCCACTCCCAGGTCTGGTTCTCACGGCCTTCCCTGCAGCTGGCTTAGCTGAGAAGGCGGTGAGAGTCGCGTCAGCAGTTTGGAGGAGAAAGTGCGGGTTGATTATTGACCCACGCCTTCTTTCTTCAAATGCCACATCCGACCCTGAGGGTTTGAAGAGAAAATGCCGCCGAGCGGATTTTTGCGGCCGGGTCTCACCTCCTACACGTCCCGGCTCTTGCCTTTCAAGTAGCGCCGCTGCAATATGCCATAAGGAGCGAGTGTTTGCTGTTTTGTGCTCTGTTTACAGCTTTGGGGAGCCGAGTCATAAATCTTGCCCAGCCATAAATGACAAAAACCATTGGTATGCATGAGGCCACCCTGGCCCGGAGTGCTTTTTGATTTCTCCCTTTCCCCAGGCTTTGTTTTTGCTCTAAGGTGACACTTTGGCTCCCTGACAGTTTAAACATACTACTTATATTTTTAACACCTTCCTTTGAGAAAGGACCCTTGTTGACGCCTCGGAATGGCAGGAAAGCTCCATTCCCCCCCCCCCCTCTTTCTCTCTCTCCACACACTCCTGCCCAGGAGTTTGCTTCTGAAGCTGGGAAGCTGAGGGATGATCCCATCCTCTTTAAAGTTGTGGTATGTAACCAGGCAAATTTAGGCCTTTGCTCAACCCGGCAAAAGGAAGGCCACTCAACTGGTTAGGGGGTGAAATCTCATGGATGTCCATTTGTGTTGGTGTCAGAGCCCTATCTGTCTTCCTTGTAGGCGACCCCGTTGCGTGCAGTGCCATGAAATGGGCACGCAGGAGGTGGAGACTCCAGTTTCTAGGTATCTTTGTGTATGCCTGAGCCCAGAGAGGTTCATTTCGCTGTGGGGACAGTTGTCTCTCTCCCCAGGACACTTCCCTCCTTTCGGCCTAGAAATATAACCAAAGGCAGTTGAGTTGTGTTTGGGGAGGTGTCTGGAAATAGGCCTTATCCCGGCACCACAGGGACTGGCTTCGGGGTGTCTGTATGGGGAGCGGCAGGTGAAGTAAACTCCCCAAAGTCAGGGCAACTCGGTTCTCCCCCCCCCCCCCCACGCCCCAGTGCAAATGTCCAGGGCAGGGAATTGCGTGGTTTCTCAGACAGATTCTTAAGAAACAGAGCCCCGCAAGAGAGCCCCTTTGTGAGCGCCGTTTGTCCTCATTAGCATAATTTTCCTGGACTTTAGTGACGCCTAGGAAGGAGAGGGAGGGCGTGGGGTGGGGGAGGCCGCCCTCCTCCCGCTGCCGCCGAGCTCGCTCTGCTCCTGTTCCTCCCCTCGCCTCAGCCCCATCCCCCACGCCGGCGCTTCCCCAGCCGCTCGGCTCTCCCCTCCCGCCCGCCCCGGCACCCCTTCCCGCACCCCCCGACCGACCCCTGCTCGGCGCAGTGTTCATAAGAAACATACCCAAGTCCGTGCCACCAGCCCCGCGGAGCCCGGCCGGCCGCGCCAGCGCTCATCGGGGGCCGCGGCCGCGGGCAGGGCGGGGGCGGGCGTGGGGGAGGGCAGGGGAGGGGAGGGGGGTCCGGGAGCCCCAGTCCGCCCGGGGCCAGCCGCCCGAGCAGCTAGTCGCCCCGCTCTCCGCGGAGCCCCGGCCTCGGGGGTCTCCCGCCAGCCGGCCCGCCCGCCCGCCCGCCAGCCCGCCCGCCTCGGCGGATGCTGAGGGTCGTTGGCCATCATCCCGCGCCGAGGGGACCCGGGGCCGCAGCCCGAGCCCGAGCCCGCGGCGGCCGTCAGAAGTTAAGGTAAGCGGGGCCACCGGCGGCCTCTCTCGGCGCTGAATGGGAGAGTGTGTGTCTCGGTGATTTATGGCTGCAGACTTAAATCTCGGTTCAAGAAGAGTTCACAAGCCGGAGCTTCCTCGCCGGCAGTGACTGATACCCTCACACTTCAGTTCAGGCCGCGCTCCCATCCCCGCCCCCACTCTCCCCTCTCCCCCTAGCCCAGCCTCAACTTTTCTGGGTTGGGGGAGAGAGGGAGGAGTGGGGCTGGGAACGCGGGCTGCTGCCTCGACGTCCCCTGGCCAACTCGGGCGAGGGCAGCTAAGGGAAGGCGTGTGCCGAGTGTGGAGAGGGAGGTGAATTGGGGCATACCTCGTGTAGAGACAACAGGGCTGGCTTCCAGGACTCAGTTCAGCCTCCTCAAGTCGCTTCTGCTCCTGCACCTGGAGGTTATTGTCCAGGAACAGGTCCTTGCGGAGGAATCCCCCTCCACCCCCAGCTCTTGCTTGGGGGGGACAAAGCAAAGTTTCCTGGCTGGCAAACCTCCAACTTCTTCACTAGGTTGAAAACTTTGGGGGCTGGAGGGGGCGGGTTGTGTGGGCTCCAAGGTGATTGCGGACCTCAAACAATGGGATCTCTAAGTTGAATTCGTATTTTAAGTTTGTGGACGCTCCCTTATGCTCTTTGATTTTAAAGATTTTTGTTGTTGTTATTTTAAAAGACAATATACAGTCTGATGAAAAGGCTCAACCAAGCATCAGGCTGGTATAGCCTGTGCTAATGGCTTAGAAAGTCACTAGAAATACTGCACGTTCAAAATCAACTTAATTTTGTTTTATCTAATATCTTGCTGTTCAAATGTCGAGTAATCTTCTTAACTTGACGTTTTACCTTAATCAAACTTGGTATCTCAAAAATTTATAATGACAGGCATTAACACCGGCAAGTATAATAGGAACTGTTTTCAGTGTAAGAACGAACAAAGTAGACATTAAATTGTAATTCACTTTAAAATTTTATTTTACCCTTTATTTACTTTCCATAGTGTTATCTGTAGCTTCCTAGACATTTCCAAAAGGGAAACAATACTCCAGGGTTCATGACCACGCACAATAACTCTGGATAAGTGCTGCTGTAATTCTTTATTGAGGTTCTGGAAAATTAATTGTGCTTGTTTTCCAGATGTTGATCAGATTGTTGGTTTAATGATGAAATCAAAGGGAGTTCATTATTAAAAACAAAATTATAACCACCCATTGGTGGATGCTTGTTATATTATTATTTTTTTCTGGTTGATATCTGCTATTTCTAGAAAAGTTAAATAACTCTGGGATTGAATAGCCATAGTTGGGGTTTGAAATGTAAAACATTATCTGCCTGGATTTGTCAGTAATTTTCTTAATGGTCAGAGGGACTAGCATTCTGAATGTGGTGTGTGTGTGTGTGTGTGTTGTGTGTGTGTGTGTGTGTACATGTAAGACTCACAAGGAACTTTTCTTGCTGAGAACTAGAAGTTTACCATACAAAAGTTGAAAACCAAGAGAACACAGATTTCACTTCTACAAACTGCTTTCTAAATAAAAGAGATTTTAAGTTGCTTTTTAGATTTCTCTTTACTTATAGTGTTTCCGAAGGCAGAAGATAAACCAAATAACAAATATGATCAACAACAGTATACAAAGATCAGGGAAGTCTGGCAGGAGTTTATGGTCTGTGCTTCCATGCCTCCTCTGGAGTCAAATGACCCCCATACATCAAATTGCATAGCAGTTTCTAAGACAGAACCTATTATCGTTAAGTTGGAAGGAGAGTTCAAGCCGTGGTCATGGAGATGAACGCTGGTTTTTCAGGTTCCTGGTGGGTTGTTTTTTTTCTCTAATCCATCATGTTTTAACAGGTAGAATTTGATAGTTGCCCAGAATAACAGCACCTCAGAAAGTCCAAGCCAGGAAAGTCTGGGAACCTCCTGTAACTTCGAAAAAGAGGTTGGGGTGGCTTGTTTCAAAGTGCCTGAAAAATAGGGTGGGAGAAAGGGTATAGAAAGTTACAGGATTTGAGTTGTGACTTGGGGGTGGGGTGGTGGTGTTAGTGTTCCTAACACCCCCCCCAAATACAGAGAGAGAGAGAGAGGAGAGAGAGAGAGAGAGAGAGAGAGGAGAGAGAGAGAGAGAGGAGTTCCACCCAAAGTTTTCTCTCGCACCCACCCACTTTTTGACCTCATAGAGTTTCATTTGGAGGAGGTCGGTCCTCTTCACTGAACTAAAGCAGGCTAGCTGCCTCACAGGCTCAGCTTCTGAAGTCCATCATGGTCTGATAGGGCAGTTGCCTATGTTTTTGTGTGTGTGCAAACCTCCTGTGAGAGTTCCAGGAAAAGGCAGGCTAGGAAGGAAGTCTGGCTATCTTAGGTCTTTGGGGCAAATATAAATCCTAAAGTGGGGATTGGAGAAAAAAAATGGCGACCCATTGCCCTCTTGAGAGTCCCCCCAAGATCTCGAGAGAGCCTCAGCCGCTACAAAGGGACATCACAGTTTCTTCTGGAAAAGAAGGACCCCAACCTAGCCTCCAAAGCCTTCCTCACTTTGGACCTGGACTCCAGAGGCCCGGCTCCCAGCCCTTACTGGTTCTGCTCCTCTCCGCGGAAAATCCCCCAACTCCAGACACAAGTTAAGCAAATATTTGTAGCTGCCAGTAAATTCCAGCAGCTTTTTATAGCGCAGCTCCCTGCGCCCGGGGGCCACGTCGTGCTGCTAAATATTGCTGACCACTTTTTCTTTTATGGCTTTCATGTCACTTAGCTATTGAGAGTAAGATGGATTTGCGCGGAGCCCTCACGGCGCTGCACTTCTCCCCCCCACCCCTCAGGTCTGCGCGCGGCGGCCATTGGCGGCGGAGTGTCACGTGACCGCGGGGGGCGTGCCAATGTGCTCCCTTACGGGTGTCAAGCCCCTGTCAGAGTGTGCGAGCACGATCGTGAAACATCGCGATGCAAAAAGCGACCTACTACGACAGCTCGGCGATCTACGGTGGCTACCCTTACCAAGCAGCCAATGGGTTCGCTTACAATGCCAGTCAGCAGCCATACGCGCCGTCGGCGGCTTTGGGCCCCGATGGTGTTGAGTACCACCGACCCCGCCTGCTCCCTCCAGTCCCCCGCCAGCTCTGGGGGCCACCCCAAAGCTCACGAGCTGAGCGAAGCGTGTCCTGCGCACCCTGAGTGGCCCTCCTAGCCAGCCCCCAGGCCTGGGTGATCCGCCTTTGCCTCCACCTCCTCCCCAGGCGGCGCCCCCAGCCCCACAGCCTCCCCAGCCCCCACCACAGCCCCCTGCGCCCACCCCTGCAGCTCCCCCACCTCCCTCTTCTGTCTCCCCCCCTCAAAGTGCCAACAGCAACCCTACCCCCGCCAGCACAGCCAAGAGCCCCCTGCTCAACTCTCCCACAGTGGGCAAACAAATCTTTCCCTGGATGAAGGAGTCGAGACAGAACACTAAGCAGAAAACCAGCGGTTCCAGCTCAGGTAAATGGGCACCTTCTGGAGGCGGGGCCTATGGCCCAGCTCCCTAAGCCACCTCCAACGTTACCAGCACAGCCTAGGAGCAGTGAAAATGTGTCTTCCCCCACTCTTCCCCACACAGACAAGGAGAAAAGGGTTTCCAGAATCTTTGCTACTTAGGGAGGTGATAAGGTTTCTGTGACAAGGATCCCCCAGACATAAACCAGACTCAAGTCCCTCTGGACCTCTCCAGGGCAGGTTGAGTCTGGTGAAGTGGGAATCTTTCCTGGTTCCACTGTTGCGATTTGTAACCTCTAGGCAGAACCGTCCTGAGGGCCTCTGTCTCTCCAAGCCCAGCTCTTGTCTAAGCAAACAGTGGCATCCTCCCCATACAGAAATGTGGCAGAATAAAAGCAGGCCTAATCATCACCCAAGTCAGAATCAATGCTTTGTCTATAATCAGAGCCAGGGTTTGCTGCAGCAGATGGAGGCGGCCTTACCTCTGGGAAGGCAGGCCTTGCTCAGTCTTAGCACAATGAAGGAGGCAGCCGGCCATCTCCTGGGGGAGGGGATTCAGCTTATCATCCTAATGGGAACCACATGGGGCTTTGGGAACTGGACTCGAGTGGAGGAGCCTCAGCCCCGAGGCCTTGGGCTTCCAGGCCTCCTGGTTACCTTGGCCCCTCCCTCTCCCCTGAGCCCGAGCATCTGGAACATCCAGAGCCAGTATTTGGGGAGCCAAGAATGACAGGGGGCACAAACGTGAGGGGCCGAATTGGGCAACCTGCTTGATGACGTTTAAGACCCCTAATGACCAGGACTCCTCGAGGGCCTGGGCCTCCCTACCAGGACTAGACAGCTTCAATGAGGTCTGGTCGTCCTTGGTGAGAGAAGGTCTTCCAGTTTGACCTCACCACTCTGTCCATCTCCTCTTAGATTTTAAAACTGGTTAGTTGAAGCTAATGGCTGGTCACTCTCAGTTACACAAGGAGGATGAAAGGCCTTCGTGCATATTCTAGATCTCTCCCACTTCAGCAACTGAAGGCGCGAAGACACCTGCCCACAGGAGGCTTATTGTCTGATGGGCCAGTAAATAAGCTAGACAAGAGAAGGGTCAGAGAGGAAGTGCAGGCCAGAACGGCAAGCAGGAGGCTCTGCTGCTCTGTCCTTCCCTTGAAAAGCCCGTGATTCTCTCCTTAGCGGAAGGAAGGGCAAGCTAACCGGGCTGTTTCCGCACACCAAGAGGACTTCGGGCGGCGTGGACGTCCTGCGCCTCTCTGGTCGTGGGGTGAAGAAAGGAGGGGCTAGGCTAGAGCTGGGGAGCTGGGCGGGGTCGCCAGCAGCCCCTGACACGGCTCTTCCTCTCTGTCCCGCCAGGGGAGAGCTGCGCTGGGGACAAGAGCCCGCCCGGGCAAGCTTCGTCCAAGCGCGCGCGCACGGCGTACACGAGCGCGCAGCTGGTGGAGCTGGAGAAGGAGTTCCACTTCAACCGCTACCTGTGCCGGCCGCGCCGCGTGGAGATGGCCAACCTGCTGAACCTCACCGAGCGCCAGATCAAGATCTGGTTCCAGAACCGCCGCATGAAGTACAAGAAGGACCAGAAGGGCAAGGGCATGCTGACCTCGTCGGGGGGCCAGTCCCCAAGTCGCAGTCCCGTGCCTCCCGGTGCAGGAGGCTATCTGAACTCTATGCATTCGCTCGTCAACAGTGTCCCTTACGAGCCCCAGTCGCCCCCTCCCTTCTCCAAGCCCCCCCAAGGCGCCTACGGGTTGCCTCCGGCCTCCTACCCCGCTCCCCTGCCCAGCTGCGCACCCCCACCTCCCCCACAGAAGCGTTATGCAGCGGCGGGGTCAGGCGCAGGGGGCACCCCTGACTACGACCCGCACGCTCACAGCCTGCAGGGCAGCGGCAGCTATGGGACCCCACACTTACAGGGAAGCCCCGTCTTCGTGGGGGGCAGCTATGTGGAGCCCATGAGCAACTCCGGGCCAGCGCTCTTTGGCCTAACTCACCTCCCCCACACCACCTCGTCTGCCATGGACTACGGGGGCACTGGGCCGCTGGGCAGCGGTCACCACCATGGGCCGGGGCCTGGGGAGCCGCACCCCACCTACACGGACCTTACTGCCCACCATCCTTCTCAGGGAAGAATTCAGGAAGCGCCCAAGCTCACACACCTGTGATGGGCTCGGGCTGCGAGCCAGGAGAGTTGCCCTCCCCACCTCCTTTTGGTTCTTTTTCCTTAAAAAAAAAATTTTTTTTATTGTTTTATGTTCTTCCTGCCTCTCCCTTTTCTCCTCTGCACCCCTCCCTTACTTTGTTTTCTTTGGTAATGCGTTTTTATGGTTTATGTGACGTAGCAATCTTGGTTGCTGGAAAGGCTGTCAGTATCAGTAGTGACATTTACATCCCCCACCCCCACCCCGGCCCAGGCCTCTGGCCCTGCACCCTTACCTTCTCTACTCTTTGATAAGAAACAGGGTATATGAACAAACTTTCTAGTTGAGTTTTCAATGTGAATTTGTTTGTACGTTATGGCTCCCGAGAGGAAGCGATTGCGGTTTTTTTTTAAGTTTTAGTTTTTAAAATTGCACTTCTTGTAATGAGCGAGAAAAAGAAATCAAAGGCGCTTTGAAACAGGGACTCCCTGTGCAAAAATGACTAAGTGTACGTCTTTCCGTGTGTGTATGCTTGTGAACAGTCAGATTTATTTATATTTTTTTGCAAGCATTGAATAGTCTAAGTTTTAAATATTATTTATCCCCATCCGTTCGTATTTATATTAAAGAAATTCTGTACCCTGATTGTTCAGAAGGTTTCTTGAGCCTTTTGTTCAATGATGTATTGGCATACATAAAAAATTTATTTGAAAGGGAAATAAAATTCCTTTATAAAAACCGTAGCGATGCAATAAGAACCGAGAAGACCCAGCGTTTGAAAACCGTGGTTTAGGTTTGTAACATCCGGCAAAACTGAACGCTAAAAATACTAGATTTGTTTTGAGAGTTTTACATTCCTTGCTGCTCACATTCTGAGAAACAAAACAAAACAAAAAAAATAAAGTTTTTATTCTGATTAAGATCCGTGTCAAAAGGGTGTCTTTGGCTGAAGAAGGGGCTCTGCGTGGAGTACAGGCAGAAGCGAGCCAGCGAGCGGGTAGCGGCTGCGGCAGCCCCGCGACTCCGGCGTGCGGCCTGGCTCGGCGGCGGCGTGTGGCCTGGAAGCTCAGCGAGTTCAGGAGCAAGAGGCCGTGGTTTCGGGAGGCCGCCGCAGCTCGGGAAGTGTCGTACTCCGGGTCCGCTGGGCAGCCTGGTTCCCAGCTGCCGCCCGAGCAGGCGGAGGGCGCCTGGCTGCGAAGTGCGGGCCGGGCCGGCGTGGAGGAAACAAAGGCCGCAGGCCGGAGGCGCGGCGGGGGGCGCACAGGTGCGGGGCGGTGCGCACCAAGAACCCGGAGCTCCTCTCCGCTCCCCCGCACCGAAAGCCCATCGGCCATCGCCTCAACCTTGGGAATCTCCCAGGGTCTTGAGCTCTTCCCACAAGCTATCACATTCTCCATCGCGGATGCTTTGTGGTTCATTATCGCTCCTGGAGAAGGGAGGGGAAAAAAAAAGGTTCTCCTAAATTCAGCTCCAAAGGGACTGCTGCTCCTCCTGGTCTCCAGCAAAAGAACCGAGCTCCAGAGAGTCCTCCAGGCCTTCCTCGGACTGGAAGGAATCCCTTCCATGAATCTCAGCATCAACTTCCTCCCGGAATTCAGCATTTGCCATTCTGTGGATTTATTTCCTCTCTTTTTATGGCCCCAGGGGGAGGAGGAGAGAGAAAGGAGATTGGTATCTTTCTAATAAAAATGCAATTGTACAAGTGCTTCCTTCATTTGCTGCTACACAAGCTTAATATTACATTTCCACGTTTGGATTTAAGATAGGACACAGGCTGACTGGCTGGCAGAGTCAAAGGCAGACAGAGGAAAAGGGAAATATTTCCATCTTCAAGGTAAAGAATTACAGATTCGAGAAGCCAAATTCAGAAAATACAAGCCTCAGAGCTGCACCCCATCATCAACCCCTCAGAGCTGGAGGTGAACAGCCTGTGTCTGGGAATTAGGAGGATCTGAACCCCCATTCTCCTTGGGATTGTATCTTTCAGAGGCAGAAGTGAAAAATGTCGCCATTTTGTTTGCAACCTCAAATATCTATCATCATGGCCTCTACCCACCCACTACCCCAGCACCCTAAGAAACTCCTTAGAAGCCAGCACTGGAGTCATTTCTGGGTACCTACTGAGTCTCAGAGAGCAGCTTTAAGGGACCTTTCCATGTTTTAGGAAAAAGAAAAATCTCGGAGGATACAAAACCA